ACTTGACCTTTGAATAAAGTTTGACCAAAATCCATGAAAGAATGATGTTGCTAAGTGTTAACATTGAATCGGAACATGACGATTTTCTATATATATAGCAAGTGTGACCTTGGCCTTGACCTGGGATCCCTGAACTACAATGATGTCCGAAGTATAATCATACTTGATCTTTTTATAAAGTTTGACCAAAATCTGTCAAAGAATGAAGTTGCCAAGTGTTTACATTGAATCGGGACGGGACGCGTCCCACGCGATGGGATGCGATGGGACGGGACGGACATTGGTAACACTATATGCCCCCCCATTTTATGGCGGGGGCATAAAAATGGAATTTCACTATACACTGTAGTGTATAAGACCACTGTGACCCAGTGTTCCCATTGAAATTTAGAAAAGGGGGATCATATGATACATTTTGAAGATTCTGTACCCCTAGGTACCTATAGTTATATGAGCCAATTTTTGAAAACTGAGGGTACAACCAACTATTTTAGGGGTGAAAAACCCTCCTTTGGGGGTTTCTGGGAAAATTGGAAGTTCAATGATGACTTTGGTCGCTCTTCATTCCATTTACCTACTAGTAAAATATGATCCTGGGTTTTATGGTTCTATGGAAGAAGTTGATTGCAGATTTCAACAGACTTGATCCCTGTGACCTTTAATGAATGTAAAGAACATTTATTTAACAACTTTAATATTCTTCCATCCAAGATAGTGGACAAGCGTAATGACCTCTCTTAAAACTGTAAATTGTTCACAGATAACAGAAAATGAGAGACGATGGACAAAAACAGCAAAATGAAACTATTACAAACAATACAACACAAACATTTTCTTTTAAAATGAAAATCCTAGAATAAAAGTTAATTTGAAATATTCCATGAATTTAGTCTTTCACCCACATAAAAGTGCCAGGCTTTTCCTAAATTAGTACTGTACTAGGCTGTGATAATTTCCCAAAACTACTGACCAGCTGCCAGTTCCCAAAAAAAAAAAAAACACTGACATATCAACTTATCAACCATTCTACCTCAAATTACATAAGCTGTTTGCCAATAGAGTTGACAATGTGTCAAAACTGTAGGTCCTTGTTTACACTGTCCCAAATTAAATGTTTATCAAACCTATCGCATTACTTTTTAAACTCTGCATGCCCTCAACTAATGGGACTCACAACACTACATGACAGTACAATACCCAGTAACTGAACATGATCATTGTTCAAAGTATGATCAACTTAACATTAGCAAGCAATAAACATGACTTGTAATTTATAACAAAACTAAAACTTAATTCTATTTTCTCAAAGTAAATTTGATGATATATGATAACAAAAACAAAAAAACAGAAATTGTAGCATTTAATGGATTAAACAAAATCTGATAAGAAAGTTACAAAATGATTTTAACAAGTCAAGCTGATATGGCACTGAACAGATGTTTTAAAGACTCTGTAGAAAAAGGATTGTTAGTTTTGCTCTATCATTTTCCTTAATTTCATTTTCAATTTCTTATGTTGATATAAGAAATAAACAAACATTTTCAATTTTTTTTTTTAAATTTAAGCATTTATGTTAAATCTCTGCATTCTCATCCTTAACAAAATATTCAAAAGTTGAATTTCTGTCACACTGTATACATTAAGTTGTTCCCCTTTTCAGACAATGGGACACTGACTGATCTGAATTGTGACAATTTTAATCTCCCTAAAGATTATTGTATTTAACAGATTTTTTTCACTTTATCTCTGTGACAACCCGGGATTTAAGCAAGGAATTTGTTCTGAAGATTTGAGCAGTGTTAATGGATATTCAAATTTGCAGTTTGCAGTTCGATCCATATCATTTACAACTAATCTTGTTTAGATGTAAAATGCGATAAATTTGAATTAAGTTGATAATCTTACAATTTCTGTTAATTTGGTGTTTGTGATATTTGATATATGAAGCAAAATACTGATTCCTATATATATATAATGAAAAGTTCATGTTGTCCATGTGATGGTAGTAATGATAGACAATAACCCCCTCCCTCACGAAATTCTCAACCCGACCATGATATACAAGTTTAACAGTCAATATATAAACATCACTTAATTTTAGAGGTTATTCACGTTATAACCATATCTTCATTTTGACCATTTTGACCCTTGTTGACACAGGGATCAGGACCATTGCATCCTAATATATATACCACCCCTTTGCAGAGAAAATTTAATGAATTCTTTGTCACTTTCATTTTTGTATATTCTTGTTTATTATATTTTAAATTTCATGACATTACTATTAAGTTACAACTGATACATGTTGTGTGATGAATACAGATTTGTATAACTCAGCACATTTCTATTTTTGAAACATTTGATCCTAATTCATATTCATGGTATAAATTGACGTACTTTTTTTTTTTAAACACAAATTTAAAAACACAACCATTTGAATTTACAACAATAGTATTATTCAATCCTTCTGATAATTCATTTCAAAATAACATTAAACAAGTTATAGTCAGATAATAGTGAACCTTATTTTTAAGCAGTAAAAAAGCAAAACTTGAATCATTACATTTAGTGTACGAAGTTTTGTATCAACGTAGTTGAGAAAAAAGTCAGAATATAGAGTACAGGCTCTAGTATTTCATTTTATTTTGAAATAAATTCAGCAAATGAAAACACTGATCATGTTGTATTCTTATATAATAATATGTGTACCCAGTCAAGCAACAAAATTAAGAACATATTTTATGGGGGACAAATACAATCTTACAATAATGCAAGTGTTTGATCAAAGTCATCAGGTTTATTTATAGTCATTTGGATTAAAAGAAACACATTTGTATAAAATATTTTTAAAGAGAAATGATAAACAACCAATAGTTCTAGTTTACACAAAATACCATTGTACTGTACTATGAAGCTGCTACACTGTATGTAGAACTTTGATGATGATGTCACAGACCAGAGTTAGGTTATTGAGATTTTAGTCACTAGTAATACCAATGACCATAACAGATTGATACTCTATGGACAAAAACTTCTGTAGTTTGTCTCAACAAATAGATACATGTATGACACATTCTCAGGTTATTTATGTACTTTTCTATATATGATCCCAAACCAGCCCAAAGCAATGTACAGCGTACAACCACACGGCCATCATCAATACACTACTGTCAATGTACAGCGTACAACCACACGGCCATTATCAATACACTACTGTCAATGAGGAATGCAGTGTTTTTCTCAGACAGATTTTCTTTTTTGTTGTGGGTTTTCTTTTGGGGGGGGGGGGGGGGGGGGGATCAGGGGAGTGTAAATTCTCTCATCTCAGGAGAAATATATTTCTAATTTATGAAGAATGTATACAAATTTCTTATTTGGAATTTTGATTTTTTTTTGTTTTTTCCAAATCATCACCAAATGATGCATCGATAATGTAATATGACGTCATGATGATGTACAGGACATGAGGGCATGTGAAAGCATATTTAAGTATATGTAAAATTATTTTTTGAAAAAGATGTCATCACCAAATATTTCGGGAACCTGCCTGTACATGTTCTCCAGGCGACGGCATTGCACAATCCGTAATTGGATTTGGATCTCTCTTAAATATCTAGACAAATACTTCCTTCAGTGGTGGTAAAGTTTATCTTACGCAGGTAAACATTGTCTTACACATACCATAGTTATAATAATAGCTCCGGTGAAATTCATAAACACACATTCCCTCACTCACAGTTAAACAAATTTTAAATTTTATATAAACTTTTATAAATTTTTCAAATTATAAGTCACCTGTCCGTGATTTGATATAACTGCACCACAGTCGTCACAGCCCAGGAATAATCCTAGAGGGGGCGAAGGACCCCTATAACTAAACTTACCTCTATTGATTTCCATTTTCTTTTAACTTTACATGGAATTGCCCAATTTTGACTCATTTTTCTTTATATTGACTACAATTGCTAAAATCAGAAAATAATCCCTATGATGGTACTATACTTTCAGTTTGTAATTCAGCAACTGACTGCCAACAAAACACACATGCCATACAAGAATAACAATACAGCGCGGTACATGACACAATTTAGTCAGAGTCAGCAGGTGTCTGTTTGATAAAATTATTACCATCTACATCTAGCAGTTTTCAATGGAGTTAATGAAGGTGGTGTTTTATACTGCTATAAATTCTCACTTTTAATTTGTGACATAATTAATACAATGATCTTTTTAATGTCATTATACTTTGTTAAAGTTATTTAAGAGGAATACTTTACAATGAAGCCCCACTTTCCTACACAAAGCCAGGGTTCATGTTCAAATGAGAATTATTTCAAAAGTTTTCCAACATTTGTATTTTTTTCTAACAGGAGAGCTTGCAAACACTGCATGCTGTGAATATGCAAAAAAACATAAAATGTATGTCTAACAGTCACACTCTCTACGTCCGACCTTCTTTTGTTAAATTTTGTTGTATTCTTGAAATCACTCAGCTTAAATTGTACTAAAAGATCAAAAGATAGGGTTGAAGATTCTAGATAGTAATTCATGTTTATGGAAATAACTTGGGTACAAATAAATTGACCAGGAAAAACACAAATCTGTTAAAACTATAGGCTAAACTAATAATAGTCACTTGACTAACAATATTAATGTAATGCTGTATGATCATTAGACATTACAAAGATGCATTTGCAATTTCACATGATGCTTTTATGGGCCAACATTCCAGCTTTATTTTTTACTAAGCTCTCTTTTACTAACCTAGATTCTAATGCCAATATATATGTTTTTCCAAAACTAGAACCACGCTGAACAGTGGGTATTTACAGTAAAAATATTGACCTATATATCTAGTTTATAAAAGCTGTTTAAAGACTATTTACCTGTCTAAAGTTTTGTTATGAAATGTAGAGCAGTTCATCTTCCGACCTTATTAGCTGACCACTGCGGAACACTGAATAACATGTGCACGCATAAGCACACAAAACTACCCTTACCTTATTCTCCAAGTGTTGCAGGCATCAGCATGGCGGAATATAAATAAATCCCAAATAATTAAGGTCACATCTCTAGACGGAATGGAAACAACCCTTGCCGATATCTTTGAGGACTTTGATAGCCAGGAGTGACTTCTCATTTAGTCAAGACCACGTACAGACACACACCTACCAAGCTCAAAGTAAACAAAACTCCACATGATAGCAGACGTTACCGTAACTCCACACCCTGGGACCGTCACAAAGGACAACCCTTTTTACTGAGTAGGTCGTCAGTCCATGCGTCAGCAGTGTCGGAAGAGTCCACGCGTCCGGGATATCACTGAAGTGGAACTGTATGGTGTCGATCGTCGGCGACCAGATAGCTCAATTGGTAGAGCGTCCGTCTAGACTGAGTTCGGTGGGTCCCAGCTTCGAATCCTAGGTCGGTGGGTGCGTTAATTTCCTCTCTGTCGTGTTACATCACATTAGAGTTGACATGCTTATCGCGTTAAACAAACGTCCGTCCACACGTCTACCATCACTGTACCCAGCACGGGACTATACCCAGCACAGGACCGTACCCAGAACGGGACCGTACCCAGCCCGGTACGGTCCAAAAACGGGACTATACCCAACACGGGACTGTACCCGGTACGGTCCAAAAACGTGACTGTACCCAGAACGGGACCGTACCCAAAACGGGACTGTACCAAAAAAGGGACTGTATCCAGCACGAGACTATACCCAAAACGGGACTGTACCAAAAACGGGACTGTATCCAGCACGGGACCGTACCCAGCATGGGACTGTACCAAAAACGGGACTGTACCCAAAACGGGACTGTACCCAGAACGGGACCGTACCCAAAACGGGACTGTACCAAAAACGAGACTGTACCCAAAACGGGACTGTACCCAGAACGGGACCGTACCCAAAATGGACTGTACCCAAAACGGGACCGTACCAAAAACGGGACTGTACCCAGAACGGGACACTTGTGGCAAAACGGCCCAAGAAACTGTCATGAAATGTAAAGAAGTATATTTATCTACAGAACTGTATGCAGTTTTCACTGGATGATACTTTTATGACAATTTAACTGTATAAAAGCTTTTTATGTTAATGACTATCGTTAAATGGACAAATTAAATGTAAGAATAATTTAAAAAAAAACTTGTTTGGAGAAGAAATATATCTAGAAATCCCTTTGACTCTATAATATTTGTAGTGTGTATCCCAGATCCTGATTTATTTTATATTTCTATATTTCATTTTGTTTCTTAAACATGAATCCAAATCCTCGTTATAACTCAACTGGCAACACTGTTGCTAAAATAAGCACTCGTCAAAATCCGAGGGATTTACTGTGATGTACTCTGTGTCTCGACTTTTTACAATCACATCTATGTCAATTAGTGTCGGGAGATTTAACATAGTGTTATAAATGTCCGAACATCCACGAGATTTAGAGTGCGAGGAGATGGAGCCGTATGGAGTATCTCGTACGATCTGATTAACCCTTTCAGCCCTATGTAACTTGAGTGAACTCTACCATGCATTAATTTGGAAGAGTCCAGTATGGTCTACAGTGGTGAAAGGGTTAAAAACCAGATCCAAAAGTTGAGTATGAGAACAGTTTCATGAATACGGACCCTGATGCATTACTTAGGAACCATGACATGTTCGATTGGGCGATATGTCTCAGACTTGTCATTGGTGATCATGTTTCTGGCCAAAATAACACAGATACCGTCTCCTACCCCAGCTTCGTAGTGTAAAATAAGGAGGCGAAAACAACAACTTTTACATACCCTGCATACTTTTATCGTCATTTGACACTTTTGTTACATGATTTCTTTTTAAAAACATGAGTACCTCGTATCTGAGAAAAAAATATCACATAGAACTAGAACAATATTAGTTTGTGTATTTCATTAATCGCCGTATTCTACGCGAGCTTTTTGATGCAATTCAGAGAGATCGTTTTTAAAAATCCCTAGTCCAATCATTTATTGTGTATAGTTGTGTTGTCGAAACAACTTTTGCATCAGGCATCTGATTTCGTCCGACCTACAAACGAAAGAAAAAGCTTCATCGAATAAAACCTCATTTAATTAGAGTAAAACCTCATTAGTCCGGACTGTGTCAGAGTAAAACCTCATTAGTCCGGACTGTGTCAGAGTAAAGCATTCTTAGTCCGGACTGTGTTAGAGTAAAACCTCATTAGTCTGGTCTGTGTTAGAGTAAATCATCATTAGTCTGGTCTGTGTTAGTAGAGTAAAACATCATAAGTCCGGACTGTGTCAGAGTAAAACCTCATTAGTCCGGACTGTGTTAGAGTAAAACCTCATTCGTCCGGACTGGGTCAGAGTAAAACCTCATTAGTCTGGTTTGTGTTAGAGTAAAACCTCATTAGTCCGGACTGTGTCAGAGTAAAACCTCATTAGTCCGGACTGTGTTAGAGTAAAACCTCATTAGTCCGGACTGTGTAAGAGTAAAACCTCATTAGTCCGGACTGTGTCAGAGTAAAACCTCATTAGTCCGGACTGTGTCAGAGTAAAACATCATTAGTCTGGTCTGTGTTAGTAGAGTAAAACATCATAAGTCCGGACTGTGTAAGAGTAAAACCTCATTAGTCCGGACTGTGTCAGAGTAAAACCTCATTAGTCCGGACTGTGTCAGAGTAAAACCTCATTAGTCCGGACTGTGTAAGAGTAAAACATCCTTAGTCCGGACTGTGTAAGAGTAAAACCTCATTAGTCCGGACTGTGTCAGAGTAAAACCTCATTAGTCCGTACTGTGTCAGAGTTTAAACCTCATTAGTCCGGACTGTGTTAGAGTAAAGCATCCTTAGTCCGGACTGTGTCAGAGTAAAACCTCATTTGTCTGGACTGTGTCAGAGTGTACCCAAAACGGGACTGTACCCAGAACGGTAAAACCTCATTAGTCCGGACTGTGTCAGACTAACACCTCATTAGTCCGGACTGTGTCAGAGTAAAACCTCATTATTCCGGACTGTGTCAGAGTAAAACCTCATTAGTCCGGACTGTGTTAGAGTAAAGCATTCTTAGTCCGGACTGTGTCAGAGTAAGACATCATTAGTCCGGACTGTGTAAGAGTAAAACATCATAAGTCAGGACTGTGTTAGTTTGTTTGTTTGTTTGCTTGATTTTGTTTAACGTCCTATTAACAGCTAAGGTCATTTAAGGACGGCCTCCCCTGTGTGCAAGATGCATGCGTGTAGTGTATGTGCGTGTATTTTGGGAGGCTGCGATATGTTCGTGTTTGTCTCCTTGTGATAGCGCGGAACTGATGCCGACTTTGTAGTGCTACCTCACTGAAACATACTGCCGAAGACACCCAGCAGTTAGAGTAAAACCTCATTAGTCTGGTCTGTGTTAGAGTAAAACTTCATTAGTCCGGACTATGTAAGAGTAAAACCTCATTAGCCCGGACTGTGTTGGAGTAAAACCTCATTAGTCTGGTCTGTGTTAGAGTAAAACATCATTAGTCTGGTCTGTGTCAGAGTAAAACATCATTAGTCCGGACTGTGTCAGAGTAAAACTTCATTAGTCCGAGCTGTGTAAGAGTAAAACCTCATTAGTCCGGATTGTTATAAAGGAAAAACGAAAAATCTAGTTACAAGTGATTTGAAGGATACAGCTTCCATTTCCATTGATGACAGAACTATACAGCAGACTGAATTCCGGGGCTTTCTGTTTTTGTATGCTCCATTCCGGTGACCGGGGCATTTTGCTGTTAAAATACTTCATTCAGGCGGATCTGGTGCAAATTGATCAATCACGTCACTTTAACAGTGCCCTCTGTTGGTAACCCACCTGTACCTCCTCTAACGAGACATAAACCCCCAGGTGGAAAGTGACGGATTATGTACCACATATAAGGAGCTCTCCCGGGAATCTGGGCACATAACATCGCTAGCTTCACGGCGTCACTTCAAAAACTGAAATTTTCATCACGTCTTTTTATCGATTTTATTCGTGTTGTTTGTCTTACTGGTTGAAAATTCTGTATAACATTCAGACCAATTATAGAGCAGCTATCAAAAATCAGAAAATTGAAAGATTTTTGTGAATTTTAACAAAAAAATATATTTTTAATTTGTATTTTTTGTCGCTTGTTATCATTCTTCAAATTCTAATTTTCAAAACCCACTGTGTTCTTTGATAATTTCTTGAATATACATATATATCACACCGTTTTAATCAAATATCTTTAATTTTATTCAGAGGGAAAATATCCAAACACTGGGACTTTATATGTCCAAACCGTGGTAATATAAAAGATAATTCCAATAACATTGAAATTGAAATTCATAACTTAAATATAATTATAGGTTGCATGTATCTCCTCATTTCCAAGAGAGCTCTAGAAAACTATTGAATATTTTAAAAATGAAGCTGGTTGATTTCACTGATGATAAATTTAAAAAAGGTAAAATAGCAAATAGTGGGAGGAAAAGTTATTTTCACTTTTAAAATGTTTAAGGGAGATAACTCAAACAGAAGCAACAGGATTTGGTGAGACTACAAGATAATACATGCCTTTGAATAGCATGGTTTAAAAAAAGGTATTGTTCAAAAGTTAAAACTGTTTTATAGGGGTTACCGTTGATAGCATTAGGATGATCTAACTAACGAGAGCTTCAGACGGCTTCTGTCCATGTCGAGCACTGTATAGATTGACTGACTGATTTATTGATTGATTGACTGATTGATTGATTGATTGATATTGATTTTGAAGGTATAACGTCCACTATTACGGCCTTTCAGCAGACGATAAAGATAGGAACATGAAAATAGAAGGGATACAGTATACAGAGGAAGGAGGGTAGGGCGGAGAAGATGAGTCGTCTGTCCTATATATATAAGACGACGTTGGGACAGAAGGCATGGTGGACGTACAATAAGCGACGCAACCGCTCATGCATATGGTAGCGCCGTAAACCCTGAGAAAACACTGGCCAATCAGTCTAGTCTCTGGTCTCCACGGCATTGGTTCAGCTGCAGCAGAGAATTCGAAGTCAAAGCCCTCCGTTCCGTGTTCCTGCTGATGTCTCGAGATTCCCAATGTACAAATTAGGATTCTTTGCAAGTGGCACATGGGATCTTGGAGATCACTATTGTATTTGTGGGCTGATTATGTTATTTTAAATCGTTTCCGGGTATGAATTGGACACCGACACACTTCA